AGATATTGCTAAAAATGTATAATTCATAATTATTCAATAATGATGACAATAATAGTCAATACATTAACCATCACTATTACTTACAAATCCTACTCCCAAGTCGTATTGATTTCTTTTTTGAACTGCTGTGACGAAATTTGCATAGGAGGAATTATCAAATGAATTCGCATATGGATCAATAATTGCATTATGTTCTAATTAAAGACCGTCACCAACCAATCAGTCAGTCAGTCAATCAATTAATAATTAATCAATCAATAAGTCAGTCAGTCGGTCAATATAAATGATTTTTTACCTGGGTCGGACATGGAAATCGTGAAAGTATTATAATCCGTATCATGATTGTATGACGGATCAACAATCGTGAAGATCATCATTACATCTTGACGACCAAGTTGTGGGTTATTGAGAAATGAAAATTTTGGTGCAAATAATCCAAACCAATACGTATTATTATATTGTAAAGTAGGTTGAGTTACATAATTTCCACAATCCACACTATTAAGATCTTGGGAATGAATAAATAATTAATATGCATAATATTATATATAATACAATGCAATATACACGGAACACAACATAGTATATAATTTACTTTGTATGGACGCACAGGATATTCTGAACTGTTTTTCAAACCGTATGGCGACAACTATAGAATAAATAATAATATAATAATAATAATCATAATTCAACCAACATTCATACATATGATCAGCTAATCAATCAACTAATCAATCAATCAATCAATTCACCTGGTAGGGGAAACTCATCCATTGAGGAATAACTTGTTGTAACAGTTGGCCTATCATTAGCCACTCCAGCCGCTAATATCAAAAAATAAACTAATGATATAAATACAAATATCATAACAGTACACCCTCTGCAACACACGACCGGAAATGGCTCGGTTTTACGTGCTCTCTTAAACAATAAATCTTGCAACATTATTTTCAAAATAAATGTTTCAATTAATAATAAGAAAATTATTGTTTTTTTTTTGAAAAACAGTTTATTTATTGAAAACGGATTTTTGCAAGTAACCTTATTTGAATTTAAAATTTAAAACTTATCAGAAATAGGACACATGTAACATCAAAGATTAATTATTTCATTTTTTCATACACGATTAATTTGGTATTGGTGTAAAACTGTTTTTTAGGAGACGATCATTTATTAAACAGTGCAAAAAAATGAACTATACGTATTAAAATTAACTCCTTGTTTGTTTGATGCTGTTGTGCGAACAATTCACCAATCAATAGGAGTTTTGCATCTTTCCATTC